CCTGCAGCAAAAACCTCTCAAAAAAAAAAAAAAAAAGCACACGTGTTCATACACTCCAGAAGCCCGTGGGTCCCTAGTGCATAGGAAGCTCTCCACTGAGCCCATTAAAAGGAACAGTGACACATTCCCTCTCCCCAGGCCTTGTCTTTCTGAATCTCTTCGGAAGGGGGTCAGCCAGTTCTGGGTTCTCTGGGTCTGTGGAATGGAACATGGACATATGTGAAAGGGACTGTGGGGAGACAGGATGCCGGGTAGTTAGAAGAAGAAATTGTGCACCGACAGTGCTGGTTTCTGGCCAGCCTGACTCTCTCGGGTGGGACAGATGTGTCCAGCATGGCTGGGTGTATTTTGATTGTGCACTAGGGAGCCAGGACGAGGAAGTGGAGTAGCGTCCAGTCAGTTCACATCCGGACAGCCTTTGGCTTAGGGTCTTGAATGGGGGTCAGGGTCTGAGTGGCCACATGTTTCCGCAAAGAATCCTGTCTCTCACCATTAATCCCACAGGTCCTGGACCAGGGTGTCCTCCTGCTCTTGGTCTCCTGCCACCACCCAGGGTCACTCAGTAAGGCCCAGGGTAGCACTCTGGAAACCCCGCTTAAAACAGAGGTTGAAGGGCCAGCCCCGGGGCACAGCAGTAACAGAACACCTGAGGGGCCAAGGCCACATGGGAGGGCCTGAGGGCTCTGGGAACACGCGGTACACGTGTGCTTGGGATCCTGGCTAATTGAAGACGAGGATAGGATCGTGGTGTGAGAACTTTGTCGGGGGTCTCTTTCTCTGTCTTTATTTCTTATGGAAGAGACAAACAAATGAACTTGAAGGAAAAAATTAAAGTTTTTATGATAGTGTATCATATGTAATCATCATTGATGTAGGAAAATGCTTATAACAGGATATCATGTGAGAAAAAATACAAATGAAATATGTTGTAGGTTCTGAAGTCTGTTATTATATATGATGTAGGGAGAATAGTATAGGAAACAATATTTGATTAAAAAGAAAGAAAGAAAGAAAGAAAGAAAGAAAGAAAGAAAGAAAGAAAAGAAAAAAAGGAACTTCAGGTTGAAATGAATGGCCAGTAAAGAAAGCTCCCTTCTGGGACCAGCAGGTGGTGTAGTGGTTAAGGTCCTGGACTCCCACATGATTGACTGTGGTTTGAGTCCTGGATCTGGTGGCTTGAAACTCAAGTTGGGCGTGTATGCTTGCATGCCCAAAATCCTGAGAGGAGACTGGAGGAGAAGGGATTGTAGAGTGGCCATCCTCTTTGGGGGTGATTCCTCACTTTTTGTCTCTCTGTGTCTCTTTGACTCTCCGGTCCAGTGCACATGTCCTAGAGTAAAAAACAAAAACAAGCCTTCCTCCCGCAGGGCTATGCTGACCCTGATCAGTGAGTGGGGGCTGGGGTGCGATGTGGGTCCCTGGGCTGCTACTCGGTTTCCTCTGTGGTCTCTCAGCCTGCTTAGCCCTGCTGAAACCCCTTGTGTCCGGAGGGCTGCAGCTCTGCACCTGTCCTCCGGAGCCACCTCCTCCACCTACTCTGTCCTGTCAGTTGCTCATAGGCCTGGGTTCTGCCTGGTCAGGTTTTGGCAGCTCTTGGAGTTTTTGTGTTGGGCCCAAGATAAAACAAACGTGGCTGAGTACTAAAAGGGGGAGCTGAAGCAACCAGCACCCCAGGAATGGAGCCTGGGCAGTCCTAAGCAAGGACAGATGGGGAGGCTCCAAGATCAGCACAGACGGTCAGTCACGTGACACGTAGCAGGTGGTGTGTGTTGCCGTTTGACAGACATGTTTATGTCTGACCCCAAACTGCGCTCCTCTTCTTGCCACAGAAGCTGGCCTTCTCAGACCTTGAGGATGTCATGGCCCCATTCCATCCTTTCCCTTACAGAATCCGAATGTCGGGGATCAAAGGCCTACAAGGGGTGGTGAGGAAGACCGTGAATGACGAACTGCAGGCTAATATCTGGGACCCACAGCACATGGACAAGATCGTCCCATCGTTGCTCTTCAACCTGCAGCACGTAGAGGAGGCAGAGAGGTGAGCGGGCCAGGTGCAGTGTGGACAGCGGATGCGTCCACCCTCCGAGGCTGTCCATCCAGGATGGCTTGGGCAATCAGTAAAGCCAGCTACGAGGTCAGGGACCGTGGCTTTATGGCTTGCTCTGCAGTGAGTCCAGTGCTGGCTCCCAGAAGCCTGGGGTCTGGCCTCCTGCCAGCTGTACCCAGCAACATCTGCGTCAATGAGGAAGGAGGGGGCCATGCTGGGCTCCCTGGGGGTAAGTGTGTGCCCTCAGAATGCAGAGCACCAAGAGTCAGGTTACCTTCGTCTCTCAAGAAGCAACGGGCCAAGGAGGTTTTAAAATGCCTTTCCCAGCTCCAATTACTGAAGACTTTCCTCTGGGCCTTCCTTCCTCCCTGGCTTCCACATGCCAGTTCAGGCCCTTAGAACAGGCATGTTAATGAGCCAGTAGCCACTCAGCAAGGGGGGTTGATACCAATATCAGTCTTGGCGCCTGAGCACGGGATTCACACCAGTCCTGACCCCTACCTCTCCCTTCTGTGAGATGAGATGTACAGAAAGGTTCCCGCTGCTGCCTCACGTTGGCTGTCTGTCCTGATGCCGGTCAGATACCACTTCTCGCCTGTGGGTTGAGCCTGGGTGGCTTCTGACTGTGCCCTCTGGTGGCTGATTCTGGAATAGCAGTGCGTTGACTGCTCACGCTGTGGTTTCTGCTGATCTTAGGGCGGACAGTCCTGGGGCCCCTCATTCTGCCCAGATCTGAGTCTACTCCCTGGGGAGTCATGTCTGAACTAGCCACTGTGCCCTTATTTTTCCTTGCTCTCTCTGCTCTCTCCCCTTTCTGCCGCTTTCTTTTGCTTTCCCTTACTTTTCTGTCTGCCTCCCCTCTCCATAGCCCATTATCTTTTTTCTTCTGAATCCTTAGGGGTAAGGGACCGTCAGGGGCTGTGCCTCACAGGCCTGTGACGCTCCGACCCACCTGT